GGCAAACCGCCACATCTTCATCCAAGCTCATCACAGTCCCCTGAAGAGGGAGCTGTTGTTTTATTTGTGCCTCCATTCCCACAGAGGGTTAACACAGTCTTATCCCTACTTCTAATTTTAACTTCTTTAGTTTCTAATCTGTCATTTCCAACATATGTTCATGATTTTCCCTGCAGTCGGGCAGTGATCTGCAGGTCTTTGTGAGACGGCGAATAGCCCGAATCAACTTTTTTTCTGTTTTTGCTTTATGTTCTCTTCAGCCCATTAACCAGTCTAAGCTCGTCTAATAATATAAGGTGAATAATTAAAAGAAAAAAGATAGGATAAAACCTTGCCTTAGGTCTGTGTGGGAGTGGGCACATATGGGGAAAATTCTGCCCTCAAGCCTTTCCGTCAGAGTCGCTCTCGCTGACTTGTTCGGTGTTGAAAGAATATGAAATTCTTCTTAACCTAACCAAGCTGTTAGGTGTGTAAACTGCATCAAAACACAACAAAAACTAAAGCGAGTCTTCACATTGTGGACTGTGTGTATTTTGAGACCTGCCTGATCCTCCTGTTGGTTTGGCGTTGCACCTTATTGGTTCAAGAAGCTTGCAGACTCCAGCTCCAGTGAGAGCGCAGAAAGGTGCATATTTCACTTGCTTTATTGGATTGTCCTTACAGATTTTCCAATGTGCACACAGTCTGTTTGACATTTTACATTTTTAAAAACATTGTTAGTATTTTAAAAACATACAGACCAAAATAATTAGATTTTATAATTTAGAAAATTACAGCAGCTTATTTATTTAGGTTTATAAAAATTTATACACATGTTATCTTTTGTGCTGTCTTTCTATTTTTAATGATAACTTTATTTTCTTTAGCACTACCGCATGCATTTAAATTTAGAGCTGAGGGCAGGAAGGGGTAAGAAAAACAAAAAGCAGCGTGCAGGTTTATAATTACTCTGCTGCCTTTAAAATAAAGTGTGATACTGTAAGTGTCTTTATAATCTTATAATCTCATGGGTCTGTTGTCAGTGGACAGTGATGTACACTCTTATTTAGTTTCTAATATAAATACCAGCCAAAGTCACTAAAATCACTTTTCCTCCTCATCCTGATGCTCTGGTTGAACTTCAGCAGATCTCATTGGCATCAGTATGTTGAGTTGCTGTCATGTGATTGGCTGATTGGGTTTGTGTATTGAGTCTATGTAAATGTGAAATCATCTTGTGGGAGGGTTGTCCATGAACAGTGACATATTTGCATTTTTAGAGTAAAAGAGCTCGGGGGCAGCTGTAAAGTGAAGAGAGGTAATTCGATTTGGTAACGCTGCTTGAACAGAAGTATCGGTTAAAGCGTCCGCGGCCTTTGTTCAGGTCATTTAAAAAAAAAAAAAAAAAAAAAACCTTATCAGTCTCTAAAGGTTTAGCAGCATTAACAGCATCTATAGTGTAAACTCATTTTCCATTTATGAATAGCCAGCAGCAAGATAAAATTACATGGATCCATTTCATGTAATCTGCATTAGTAAACAAGCCCTTTACCTCCTCTCTAGTTTTCTGTTGATGAAGCTATACATCCAAGATAATGTTCCCTTTAGGAAGCTCCAGGGATCGGATATGGGAAGATGTTTTATTACAAATAAAGTGAAGTAAGAATATTAAAGCGCACAGAGACGCACACAAACATGCCAGGGTATAAAGTTCATTTCTCAGAATTCACTTACCGATCCATTAACCATCCCACCCTGTCTCCTGTGTCACATGTATCATGTGTTTTAACGGGCCTCTCTCTAACACACACACACACACACGCGTGCATGCATGCTCTCCCCGTGTGTTTAATTACAGCCATAATAAGCACTTGGATGGAAACTAAGTTTGATAAGGCCACTAATGACAAATGCGATTTGGGAAATTCCCTTTTCCCGCTCTCTCAGCTTCGTCCTCGTCATCTCATACATCACATCTTAATTATGAGTCTTCCTAATGTGTTTTCCTGGGATTTACTCTTTCATATTTCAAGATTGACAAAGCGCCCAGCAATTACTGTCTGTCGTTGTTACCGTGGATATAATATCTACAGTCACATGATGGCCTCCCAAGGTGACCAGGAAGTGGGTTTTTCTAATGGCGATGTTGGGTGGCTGGTTGGGGGAGATGGGGGGGGGTCAGGGGTAAAAGTGGCATTTGTGCGTGCAGCTCCTTTTCTTGATTTATGTGGAGGCTGTAATGACATCATATTCAACAGCCGAAAGGGTAATAAATTAGATATCAGCTAATGGAGGCTGAGGCTCTTCCTTTGTTAGCGCGCTCCTGTTCTCTGCTCACATCGCTCTTTTCTTTTCCCCTGTGAAGTAAATACGCCTTTAATTACTTTCACATAAATTTTAAAGTGTCGTTTATTCACAGCGAAACTACTGACAAGAAGATGCTGGCATTAAAGAGCCTCTCTACAACGTAAACCTGTCGTTGCATTTATATTTAACTTCTTTTCTTCTTTTTCCAATGAAAAGTCACGAAATGTCTTTTAAATAAAGCTTCACCTGTTTTATGTTTGTGAAAACTGCTCCTCAGATCTGATCAGTAAAAGTTTTTTTTTATCAGAATTGTGTACATTCGACCCAGTGCTGGATCCATTTTAGGGAAATGACTGAAGTAGATTGCTAAAGTCCTGGTCACGCCGTCCTAGAGACCACCTGTCACTGGTGAAGTTGCTGCCAGCATGAAATTGGTCATAAGAAGGAATACCACGCTGGAACGAAATCCTCCCCACAATCGCTTCAGTCAGGAGTAGACGGTGTGCAAGAAAGACTGCAAATGCTTGCAAACTAGTCACTCAGCTTCAGTGAACTTTGAAAAGGTGTGACGCAAACCAGAAACTGTGAACGCTCACCTTCAAAGTAAAAGCTGCATCTTTTGCTGAGGCATCGCTTTAAAAGTTTTAAGGTGAACGTTCTCCGTTTCCAGTTCGTTTCACACTTTTTTACTAAAGCTCAGAGAGTAAATGGCGAGTCTTTGCCGATCACTTGGTGTCTTCAATGCAAACCCTTGGCGACCGTGTCAATCTGCTAGGGACCAAAGAGCTCACAAGGAACTTTTTGGCGCTGCACCCTCACAGGGAGCAGCCTCCAGCAAACACTCACCAACCTGTCAGGACATACACGTTTCCCTACCCTGACTGGTCTCTAGGCCAGTGTGGCTGACACATTGCTGATCGATCACACTTCCTCTCTTGTTGCTTCCCAGAGGCCCACTCTGAGTCAGCAAGAACGCTGTTCTGGGCAATGAAACCCGCTTTTAATTAACATTTAGTTACCGTTTCACCTGAGACCGCAGATTTACTTATTACCTTCCAGCAAGCATTCCCGGTAGAGATCATCTTTATGTGTTTGAGTGTTTTCACCGCTGCATGGACGTGACCCTGTCAGTGGCTCATCAGCGTGCAGTCATTAAACAGCTGCACTCTTCTTTTAGCAAATAACCAGTCGTCTTTCTCCGTGTATAAACATTTTAGGAGAGCTGTCAATTATCCAAACACTGACCTAAAATTTCTTTCTCCTGTTCCTGCTGCCAAAGCAGCAAAACCGCACCTTGTTCTTCTCTGCAGGCCGGTTCCACTCTGGAAAACTTTTAGCCGATAAAGCTAGACTCACATTTTCTTTCCTCTCTGTATCTACACACAAAACGGATGCATTTAGTAACCTTAAGTTTCAATGTCAGCTGTGTTTATTGGCTTCTTAAACTGAGTCAACTTGAAACCGAGCGTGTGCGCCTCAAAACCCTTCCAAAAATAAACACTGAGAACGACATCTAGCCTTTGACTGTGGTATTCAGCGGTGGGTGTGACAGCGGTGCTTTGTTCTGTCCATTAGAAGAGGCGGTGAATGTTATTACATGTCCCCGCTCTCTCATTTTTCCTTCCTGCCCTGTTGTTTTATGTTTTTTATCAGTAGGATCGTGCACAAAGCAGAATCCTGCAACACTGCAGAGACGATCAATATTGAATTTTTTTTATGTGACTTCCTCGTATTTCTTCATTATTATTATTTTTTTGCATGCATCAGTAATGATGCTGGGTGTTGTTGTTTTTGTTGTTGTTGTTGTTTTTTAACAACAGGGGTGAAGTGTGTCATCTCTGCAGCCTGCAACATCCTGTGCAGTAAATCAGTTTCCTAGTTTCTATTTGTATTTTATTCTGTTAGCTGTTTATTTTTCTTAATGGTGTCTGGGTGATTGCATCAGTCAAACAAAAAAACCCAACTTGAATGTAATTAGCAGTTTTTGCTGCAGTCATCGCAGCAGCATGGAAACCTCAACATCTGCTTTCCCTCTAAAAACACCGGGCCGAGCAGCGAAGAAGACAAACACATGCTGAGCTCTCGAGCTTCCTGTAAATGGTAATGTGCCTGTAGTGTGTTTATTGTTATCCGTTTTAAAAAGAAAAAAGTGTAATAGTCTGGACTTATTTGTGAAGAAGAGAGTTATCAGGTCTTTCTCTTTAACTGATTGGAAGCAGCTCAGTAAAGTTTTCTTTTGTTTCTGTTTCCACAGGCGGTCGGAGGAGGAAGTGGATATGGACAAAGTGACGGCCGCTATGGTGCTGACGAGCCTCTCTACCAGCCCGCTGGTGAGGAGCCCACCTGTGAGAGTCAGTGGTAAGCATCATTAGTACTAAATAAACAGCCGTAAATAAATATTTCCTTTTTATGCGTCACTTGGCTATTTTTCTAATAACATAGCAGAGGTTTTATGAAAAGCGAACTAAAACAAGTCGCTGAGCCAATAATTTGTGTGTTTTCCTGTACGCTGTGTTTCATTCCCTCACAGCTGTTATCTTGTGAATGCATGTGGAAGCTTAAGGTTGATAAATTACTGCCACCTGCTGTGCTGTAGGATCATCTCATCAATGAGCTGTGGAAATCCAAAGAAAAGCACAATGAGTCTGGATCTCTGCCACTCGGCAAAGTGGCGGAAGTCCAAAATGCCCCATAACTGCAATCTCGTGAAACCATTTAGGCGGTCTTTGTAACCAGCCTGCTGTCCTTCCAGCCGAGCAGACGCGCAGCCAACCACCGTGCACGTGGTGTCACTGCCGTACGTCATGCACAGATGAACAAACTGAGCTTTAAATGCTAACTGTACACTTTTTATCTAAATGTAGTCATGTAGTTTGAGATCACACAGCGTGCACGGAACACAGAGCACTGCTGATATCTCTCAAATGAACCAGTAGTCTTGTTGTTCTGACCACTCAGAGCCTGTGCTGCTGCTGAGCCACATCCTCTTTTATGTTAAATGTTCTGCCGAAGAAACGAGTGAAGAGAGAAGAGAGAGGCACCCTGCCAGGAAGCAGCTTCACTAAACCAAACTGGGTCTCTGTCTCTCTCACACACACATGTACAATCACTGCAAAGTTTTCCCCTGCTTCACTAAGTGAAATGCCTTTTGTGGCTGATATTCAAAAGAAACTCTTCTTTGATCTTAAAAAAAAGGAGACCTTGGAAGTGTCTCGGTGGAATCACACAACAGGAGAGTAACCTTTATTTTCTTGTGTCATAGTGAAGACTGCTTCTGGGAGGCTCTTTCTTTGTGAAGTGCAAATATAGCTATCTGAACCTAATTGGATGTCTTGATCTCATCCTTTGTTGTGTTTGTAGCATTTACAGATATAACTAAAGAAGTTTGAGCTTCTGTTAGATAAACTCTCCATCTCCTGTTCCTGTGTGTCTTCAGAGGGTCTGAGTGGATCGTGGAAAGACAACGGCTCGGCCGGACCCTTCACCCCATCGAGCAACAGCTCCTCGGGGGGCTACTGGAGCTGGTCTGCTCCGAGCGATCAGTCCAACCCCTCCACACCATCCCCACCGCTCTCTGCAGACAGCTTCAAGCCCTTCCGTGTACCCAGCCTGGGAGGGGTGGGGCCTGGCCCCGCAGGACCTGAAGACCCCATTCTGGATGAGCAGGATGGGAGCAGCCTGCTCTTTGATGAGCCCATCCCTCGCAAGCGCAAGGTGAATAGAGTTTAGCTGGGTAAAAATCCTGTGTGGGTTCTCCGGATACTCCGGCTTCAGTTCAAAGACATGAGTTTAGTGGGGTTTGGTTAATTGGTGATTCTAGATTATCCATGTGAATGTGAGTCTGAATGGTCGTCTGTCTCTCTGTGTTAGCCCTGTGACAGACTGGCGACCTGTCCAGGGTGTACCCTGCCTCTCGCCTTGTGATCTTGATGCGCTTCCCCTGTCTGACACAGATGGTCTTTTTAAGGCACATTTCTTTTAAAGAGAGGGTGGAGGAGGGTGAGGCCACTGAGGTGATCATATTAGCTATATCCTTACTCAATGACAGAGCCAAGAGTAGGACAAAAAACACATGAAACAGAGTGTTTATAGCAGCCTGAGCCGACTCCCTGTGAGGGATTATTTGTACATGCGTTGACCTTGTTATTTGAAATCTTTAAAGCGAGTATCACTGCTGTACGGGGAAAATCATATACACAGAAAACAAGGACGAGCATCAAATGCCCCTTCAAAATGATGAAAACCACTGCACGCGGTGTTTTCCCAACACGATTTTTCGAGTCAGTTGAATTTATGCTAATATCATCTCGATGGTTCTGTAAATTTAGCAGAAAAGAGACGAAGCCAATAAAGATTTGAGCCAAACTCAATGGTTAAACTTAATTTTTGTTAGTGTGTGTTTTTAGACTCAAAATACTGTTGAAGAACTTTAACTGTACAAAAGCAGTTACGCTTCATGGATAACAATCAGCAGCCAAGTTACCTGGTAAACATCTGCCATCAATGCAGCATCAAGAGAAATAAGAATGACTGTCAATCAGGGAGTTATCAGCACTGGATTATTTCTGATACAACCATATTAACATGGTAGCAGTTTTTCATTGTTAAACATCGGCACTGTTAGTAGTTAATCATCACGGGGTTAAGGGAAGGAGATATGATGATATGTTTCCCAGGTGCTTTTGTCCCACTTGTGGCTTCACTTTTATTACTGTGTGGTGCATTAAAAGCTTTTTTTGAAGGAAACAGTCGCACTGATCCTGATAGCAGGCATATCTGGAGGTAAGAATAAAGGTCGTGAACTTGTCTTTGAGATCCCGCCACATGTACATGAGCTGGTTGATTTCTCTTCTGCAATATTAACCTGTGAGGTTACCGATGTAATTTAGTTTCTGACTGATAGGCGGAGAGGGAAATTGGACAGGAAAGGACACAAAGCCTTTTTTGCTCCGGTCTTGAGTTTCGTGTCACGCGTCCTGGCCACACACACACTTTCTTTCACACTAATCATTTCACCTCGTCTCATCACTACGCGCCACTGACAGCTCATCACATCTACACCACGCTGTCACTCGTTATTTTGTCCGACGTATATTGCGTCGCTCTCTCTCTCTCTCTGCCTTCATCTCGGGGCTCTCCTCTGCTTATCGGCGCTCCTGTGTGCCAGTTTGCCGACGGTATCAGCCATCTTCCCCTCCTTTCATTCTTTCCTCTCCCCTGCTCTCGCCTCTGTTTTCTCCCCTCTCTCTTCCGTTCTCGCTGCTTGAGTGTGTCCTCCCCAGACATTTGTCCTTAATAATTACTTCCTCAGCCTTCACGTGTAGCTCCTCTCAAAAACACAGTAATGATTTGAATTCCCTCAACGGCAAACAGAAAAGATTCTGCTGGCCCTCTTAAAAAAAAAAAAGAAAAGAAAAGGGGGGGGAAATCGATAGACTCTTTAGTGAGCTCCACGTTGGCGCAGTGTACTCGGATAATTGGGAAGATCACAAAGAAGGGCGTGGAGGGAGGAGAAAGAGAGGGAGAAACGGGAAGAGAGATGAAGGTTGTGGATGAAAAATTAAAGAGTGACTAACAGGAATTACATGAAAAAGGAAGAGAGCGCAGACGGAGGCTTGAACAGCGTCTCCGAAAGCTCCTATAATGTTGGCTTAACAAGTCGCACTCACACAATCTATACGTGCAGATGCCAGGCTTCCTCGTGAACTTATCTACATGCTACTCGCGTGCTCTTGTAGGCTCCCCATTTAATTAACTGTGAAATGTTGCTTTAAAGGGGCGCACACGCTCGCCAACACACAAAATCGGCTTTTGTTACGCAAAGACAAAACAATGCAATCGGGGAAGGGGGGCACGTGATTGCTGTGTGTATGTGTGAGAGTGTTTCTGAAAGAGAGAGAAAATTAGAAATAAAACATGTTGTCAAAGTTAAATCAGCCTGCTTAACAATAGCTTGACAGACGTGGCTATAAGACCGTTTATAATAGCTCGGAGCGAGAGTGCAGGAGGGCAGGGAGGAAGTTCACGGGGCTCTTTTACTCCATGAAAACAATACACGGTCTCTGTAGGACGCCGGTGGTTTAATTACATTAGGCAGATCAGAGACACTGGAGCATCACCGCCATTGTGTCCACGGTAACACCAGAGACAGATGCTGCATTAAAGCTGTGTGTCTATTTTGTTTTCTTCCCTGGTTTTAATCTGCATCATTTCAAAGTGACACTTTATAGTGTAACGCAAAGACTTTAAATATGGTATCATAAACTGATCACTCTGAAGGAGATTGCATATTTAAAGTCCTTTAAATCCTTTAAATTCCCAACGTAAACATGGCATATCTGCATTTTAATCTAGGACAGGTATGACGTTGAACAATGAATACTAGCAGGGTGTTAGTGAGGCAGTGCAGCAGCATGTTTAATCTGAGAAATTTCATTTATCTCCATATATCGCCTTAATTTTGTAAATTATGGTTATTTTACTATAAAAACAGCCCCTACATCATAATGTTGTAATTTCTATGTATGTGCTTGTTCGTTTAAAATAAAATGGCATGTGATGTGCAAAAAAAGAGCAAG